CTTAGCACTGGTTTTACACCTCATCGGGGAAAAGCCTGGCCTGCAGGATTTCACTGGTTTCCCTGTGCTGTGCCGAGGTCGGGAGGAGCCGGCGCCCTTGGCACGAAAGGCGATCTCGCACAGCGTGTGCGGGAGAGGCTGCAGCAGGTCAGCACCGTTGCTTCTTGCTTGCTCGATGATCTTTGGTCTTCTCACTTGATTTTCCCTTTTGCTGTTGGAAAGTTGCAAGTGCAAACACACTCCGTGCTTTTAAAGATCAGGCAGTTGGAGCAAACAGCTACAGAGATGTTTTATCCGTCTGACGAGCGTTCATTGCAGGGCTGGCGCTCAATTAATTTTGCATGTGAGTCCCGGGCACGGCGCGAGGTGTCTCAGGATTTCAGCCGACTTTTGTCCTTCTCGTTACCTGCCCATGCCGGGGAGGACACGCCAGGCAGCCAGAGCCATCGGCCTCGGCTCCTCTGAGGGCACGGGGCTGGTTTTCCCAGCGTATCCCTTCCTGCTCTCCCCCAGCATCGCAGGTGGGGCGATGGGCCAGGCACCCCCAATAACCCAGCTGGGGCTTGGGTCGGGGGCACCGGGGCTGGGGACTGTGTCTGTTCCCCCCTGTGAAAATGCAGGGGTGCCCCTCGCCCCGCCGCTGCAGCGAAGCCCCCAGGGGCCGGTGGCTCTGCTGGCTCCTGCCGTGCCGTGCTGTGCCGCACCGCGGGTCAGGTTCCCCTCCGCTCACAATAACAGGTAACATTTACACAGTGGCAAGAGCCCATCTAATATTCATGGGGTGGTTATTTATTGATGGGGAGAGGCTGGCGCAGGCACCCCCAACAATGCTCCTTCGGGCATGTGCCCGCTGCCCCCAAAATCTCTGGGGTTTCTCCTCCTCCGGGGAGCTGCTGATTGCTGCAGGGTCCGCCTCACCCCGGGGCCAGAGCCAGAGCTGGTGCCGGCGGGATTACCCGGCTAAGGAGCTTTGCGGCAGAGGGAATCGGAGGAGATTACAAGATTTCTCATTAGGTCGGGGCTGAACGTGCGTAATGTTCCCCACAAGCCAAGCCCCGGCCCTGCTCCCTGCTCCTTACCCGGGGGGCACGGCCAGTGCAGGCAGCCAGCACGTGGTCCCGGCCACAAAACGGTGCTGTAGCATGGCCAGCTTGCGTCCCTCCTTCGTCAGGGGATGCTGGGCTGGGTTTGGCGGGGCCGCGGGGGCCGCGGCCGCGAGGGGGGCAAACTGGTCCAGCTTCGGCAAACCTCCGGGCTCTGCCCCCAGGAGAGCCGGTGGCATCGCCACCGCCTGGGCTCTCGCCCCCGAACCGTGTATTTGTCCGCGGTCCCCCCCCCCGCCTGTGCTCTCGCCCCAGAACCGTGTATTTGGCGATGTGCAAGCGCTCCTGCTGGGAGATTTTTGTTTCGGACTTGCATCCGCCTGAGAGGAGGGATGCTGCGCCGCCGCGGCGCGGCCGGAGGGAGGTAAGAGGCCCCTTCGCCCCTGCTGCGCCCCAAACCGGGGCTGCGCTGGAAGCTTTGCCCATGAGGGATGCCCAGCGGGGTGCGGGGGGGGTCCCTTTGGGGGGCACCCACTGCGGCGCTCCCCTTCCTGCCCCCCCACCTGCCCGGGCGCCGCTTGCTCGCTTCCTGAGCTCATCAAATATTGAGGGCAGGAGGGCTGACGGGAGCCGGCTCA